AGGAGTTGGTGAAGCTGCTAAGGAAGGAGGTGGACAAGATTAGATTAGCTGGGGACATTCCATTGGAGCTACTATTAGAGGACCCAGTTCCAGCAGCTCAGGCAGCACAGACACCGGATCAGGAGGCTGATAGAAAGCCTATGAGGAGAGGGGTGATTCAGCTGGAGGACCCCGAGGGAGGTGACCTAGGGACCCAGCCACAGGACCCCATTGATGTTCCAGACCCCATGCAGACAGAGGATCCATAGGTAGTTTTATTTACTCTCTAACCCCTCCTTGATCTTATTTTTGCTATTAGCAATGAGGACAACACTGGTTTTTATTTGGGGAGGTCCTATTTTGATGATTTTATAACTGGATTGTAATTATGATACTTATTTTTCTTTATTGTTATTTTTCACTTTTGGTATGTATATAATTTTACCATTTATTTTTCACTTCTCGTTATTTTTTAATTTCGACATGTATATAAAGTTACTTTTCCATGTATATATTCATTTCCTCTTATGTATATTCGTCGCAATCCCCTATTGTACATATTCAGTTTACTTTCCGTATTTTACTTTATAACGTCTTTTGCAATTTTCCTTAATAACATAGCTTCTTATTTCATTTAGTATCTTCTTTTTCAATTTTTAGCTTCTTACTTTTACAAGTTTTCATGATCAATAAGCCTATGGTTTTCTTAATGCCATGGTTCTTTCCGAAGGTGGAGTTTGTGTGAACCGGGTGGCTCTTCCCAATGATGGATGGCATGACAACCTTCTTAAGGGTTTGATTCCATTTTCTTTTCGTTTTTGTATAAATAGTAGTAATGAATAAAAGTGTCTCAGGCAAAGCTTCACTTTGGCCTAACACATTTACCTTTGACCTTATGGTTGGAAACTAATTGATGTGTAAAGGATGGTAATAGTTCTGACCTTTAGACTCTTGTGTTGGCTAAACAATCATCGAGTGGTTTTTAGGAGCCATTTGTGTTGCTCAATCTTAGCTAAAGTTGTTGTGGTCCCTCGACTCTGTTCTCTTTAGTAATCTAATAGCTTATGTGGTGAGGTTTTGATTTGCAAGTCCAAGTCCCATGCCAATAAGTCTAGAACTTGCCCTGAATGTTTGTCTAGGCGAAATTTTAAGTGTAGCTCTACTTGAGAAATGATTATAGGCTCTTCTTGATCCTAATTGAAAACTTGAAAGCATCCATAGCCTACCAAATATGAGATCCCTAGTCAACCCCGTTGAGCCATGTCCCTTGTTCTTTCAATAACCATGATACAAGCCTTTATCTATTCTAAAATGATCCTCTCTTGGCACCCGATCTTTCCTTAGCATAATTGGCAAAAGCGTAAGTTTGGGGGGAGAGACGAGGAATGCAAAAATGATAAAAGGTACAAAATGAAGAAAAGGGAAGGCAAAAAGAAAAAGAAAGAAAAGCCAAAAAGCCAAAAAAAGAAAGTGAACAATGTAGAAAAAGAAGAGGTTCAACAAAAGCAATGATGAAAGGCTTAGAATGATTAGAAAGGAGAAAGATTATTTTCATGAACAAGAAAGAGTGACAGTGTGTCTCTCTAGTCCCCTAAGGAAGAAGAAATGACTCAAAGAGTCAAGAAAGTGTGAGCCGAAATGAGAAAATGAAGTGCTCAAGGAAAAATGAAAGCTACATAGACCGATATATCCTACCTTGAACCAAAAGCATTCATTACATTCCCGTAAAAGCCTTAGATGATTTCGAGTGGAGTGGGCTTATATTAGTGGTGATTCATATGAGGGGCAAGCTTATGGTACTTAGAGCTGGACTTGTGACCTTCCTTTGAGAGGGATGAGTGTATTTTTCCACAATCTTTGTTCTGAGTGCTATAATCTAAAGTGAGATTTGCTTATGGAGAGCAAAAGAGAAAGAGTTTGGGTTCAACTACAACCTATGTAGTAGAGAGAGCTTCCTTGATGAGTTAAGTCAACTCTTGAAGCTCTTGTGTTGCACTAGAGCCATGGTGCTAAAAAGGTTATGTGTTGTCGATAATACATTTTTGTTGAGGGTAATTGTTTGTCTCAATTGATGCTTGTTGAAGTCACTTTAGACCAGCTGAAATTCTTCTTTCTTTTACTTTGTGGAGGTGGGAATACTTTATTTGCTTGAGGACAAGCAAAAGCTTAAGTTTGGGGGAGTTGATAATTATGGATTCTAGCCTATCGTATGTTCTCTTTTGCTTAGGTTTTGGATAAAAAATGTGTAAAAGTATTCCCGAAAACTGACTTATTGTGCTTGTTTGCAGGATTTGGTTAAAAGAACTTTGGTCTTAAAAGAACACCATTCTCATCACAAACAACCTCCCTTTGTTTTTTCACTGATTTTTATATCAAGAAGTTACAGATCTTAAGTCTAGTTTTATTACTGTAGCAACACATCTCTCTTGGTGAATTATCTGGCAGATATTCGATCTTGATTTTGGCTACTATTAATGTAGCATCAAGTTTCTTCAGTGTTTTACAACTTTCACGCGAGGTATCCAGATTTTGAAGAACTCCTTGTAGTATTAGAATCGTCCTTAGTGTTCTGGGTTGATTTAGGGTAGACTGTCACGCAGTACTGCCATGGCCAGTGGCCAGCCACCCTCTCACGTTGGGCCACCTCCACAACCACCCTCCAACATCACCCAGCCTTCTAATGGCACAAAACCTATGGACTATGCAAATGCTGTAAAACCTACGAACAACACTTCAACAATGCAAGAACGTGCAGCAGTAGTTGAGCCAATTCCTCCAAGACAAGCCCATATATTTCAAGGACAACCAACTGTACGATTTTCTGAAGCAGAAGTTGAATGCATGAATTTAATGGAAGGTTTGCAACAGGCCGTTGTTTGCAAATTTTCATACGGATGGCCAGATATCAATGAAATACGTCGCATTGTTCCTTTATAGTGTGGTATCAAAGCTGAATGCAACATTGGATATCTACGTGATAGGCACATTTTGATTCGTTTTTCATTATGGAAAGATTATGTATACTTCTCGTCAAAAGGTGTGTATTATGTAAAGGATAAGCTTGGAAATGAATATCAATTAAGAAACTTGATTTACGATGCTAAATTTAAAATTGACGAAGAGACTCCTAAGGTAATAGCGTGGATCTCATTCCCTAATCTGCTGCCTACTTATTTTGTAAGAGAATGCTTGTTCTCCCTAGCTTCTGCAGTCGGGAAACCCCTCCATTTGGATTTGGCTACTGTCAAGAAAACTAAACCTAGTTGTACTTGCGTGAAAGTATTGGTGGACCTGCTAACAGACATGCCTAAGAAGGTTCGATTAGACATTGTTAACGAGCCTACTGGAGATATTAGAACTGAGTGGGTGACTATCAAATATGACTATCTATCCAAGTATTGTAAGGAATGTAAGCTTCAGGGCCATGATGTGTTCGAATGCTGGAAAATTCATCCTGAACTAATGGCCAGCAGAAATGATGAAAAGAAGGCTTCAAATGATGTTGTAGTGCAGCCCAACAAGGACTACAAAACAAACAATGCTCCAATAATGGTTCTTACAAGTGGGAAAGTTGTTGGAAATCAAATTGCTCAATGGAAGGAGGTCAAAGATAGGAGAGTGCAAGCAAAAGAGAAACAGGCAGCAGATTTAGCAAATACTGGACAAGAAATCGTGGTTGTAAACAATCAAAAAGGAATTAAACAGCAAGTTCAGACAACAAACAGTTTTGCATGTTTAGAAGTGGAAAACAGTGAAGAATTTTGTACAAATCAGCTCATTGACAGTGTTTTCCGAAAAAATGCCTCCAAGTCCATAATTCGTGCGACTAAAAATAATGCAGACCCCATTAATATTCATACAGTTGCGGAGAATGAGTCAGAAGAGATGCAATATGATTTTTCGACTAGACAAATGGTACAAAAGGTAAATTCACCTAGTTCATCTAGGAGACCATTAGCTATGTCAGAACCAAAGAAACTGAACCATGCAGCACCTACTTTCAATCCTACAACAATAAGATATCATGCAGCAAACAGGGAATCAACAGCAGATTGTGTACAACAAGATTTGGGGAATGAGCAGCATTTTGACAATTACTCAACTGCCCAATGGGTGCAAGAAGCATTCAAAAATAATGTAGTTCAGGCCAGTACCTCATGTCAAGACATTCCTTCACAGGACACCAAAGTTGGACAACATTTAGCAAACAATAAAGAGAATGACTTAATTGAAGATACAGATTTTGAGAAATTCAGGACCAATGAAAAAGATAAATGGGCAGGAGGGAGATTATGGATCAACCAAATAGAGAAAGTCTTAGAAGATGAGCAGATTCCAGATACAATGCATAGTGAAAAAGAATTTGGAGGAAATGAAGTGGAAGATGAGAATCAAAGTTTTAATTGTAATGCCAATGCAATCAATATTCAAAACATAAGTGAATGCACAAATGCAGCAGAAGAAAAGACAAAAGAGGGGAACATCAATATTATAGATCCAGGAGGGACTTTACATAATGATTTTAGTAATGTCTTGAAAGAAGCTGAAAATAAAGACAAGAACCAAAAGAAAAAGTCAGACAAGAACCAAGAGAAGACAGTGCAAGTCTATGCAAGAAGTGTTGTACCATTGAGCATAGGGAAGGATGTAGCAGGAAGTGTTGTTCCATCGAACAATACATAGCTGTTGACAAATGAACTTGAAGAAAACGATGCTGAACTTACCAATCAAGAAAATGATGCTGCACTTACCAATCAAGCATATGATGTTGTGACATCAAAAGAAACAATAGAAGCACATGACCAAGTTGGCCACGCAGAACCTAAAGGTAGAGACATGGATGAGGAAACCACTACATAAAATTTCCTTAATGTTGCCAAGCAGGGTGATCTATCGCCAAGGCTTATTGATAGAGTAAAATCTGCAACAAAAGGAAAAAAGAAACAGTCAAAATAGACATCTGCTGTCCCAGCCAGTGGAGTACAAACAAGGAGAACACTGTCCAAACCCCAAAACATTTAATGGATGCAATTATATGGAATGCCAGGTCAGTAAATACAATGCAAGCATTTGAAAGTATGATTACAATGCACAGAAAACATCACTTTGAGTTCATAGGAATCCTTGAGCCTATGCAACAGTCTCACAAAATGGAGAGGTATAGAGCAAGAATTGGTTTGGCACAGGCTGTGGTGAATGTATCAAACAAGATTTGGGCTTTTATTGATGAAATATTTGAGGTTACTATTCTGTATAACAAGACTCAACAACTGACTTTGATATTAACGCACACTGAAACACATGTTGAGCTCATCCTTACACTAGTTTATGCCAAATATGACCGCATTGAAAGAATTGAACTATGGGATTCTTTTTATGCAATGACATCAGATATGACAGTACCATGGCTAGTTGGAGGCGACTTTAATGTGATATGGGATGAGGAAGAGAAATTTGGAGGCTTACCAGTTTCTCTCATTGAAGTAGATGACTTTAGGCACTGCATCAATACCTGCAACTTGACAGACTTGGGATTTAAAGGAAGCATATTTACATGGTGGAATGGAAGATCAGAGGAAGACCGTATTTTTAAAAGATTGGACAGATGTTTTGGCAATCATGAATTGCAACAGACCTTTCCTGGATTGGAGGTAACTCACTTGTCCAAAATTGGGTCTGATCATTGCCCAATGCTGCTGAAATGTGATATAGAAACTCCTCCAATTAAGAAGTCATTCAGATTTCTTAACCTCTGGACTAAGCATGAAACCTTCAAAGATTTAGTAAAGGAGAATTGGAATGCTGATTTTAGTGCTAACCCTTTCTGCATTTTTAACTACAAGTTAAAGAAGCTTAAGAAAACACTATCTACCTGGAGCAGAGCTACATATGAGAATATATTCCAGAAGATTGCAAGCCTTGAGGAGGTGGTCCTGGTTCATGAAAGATAATTTGAAGTCAATGCTACACAGATGAATAGACAAAGATTACAACAGGTCCAAGCTGAAATGATTAAATATCTTGCATTAGAAGAAGAATTCTGGAGACAAAAAGTTGGCATGTTATGGTTCAAAGATGGAGATAGAAACACTAAATTCTTCCATGCTCAAGTTAATGGGAGAAGGAAGAGACTGAAATTATCAAGGATCCAAAATAGCCTTGATAACTAGATTGAAGAAGATCACTTAATAGCAGAAGAAGCACTAAAGTTCTACAAGGATCAATTTACTGAGAGTGCAGTCCCAAATGATTTCGATATTCTAAATCATGTACCTTCAATGGTAGATAGTGATCATCATGAAAGATTGATGGCCTTGCCTTCCAATGAAGAATTGAAGAGAGCAGTTATGGGGTTGAATGGGGACTCAGCTGGTGGACCAGATGGTTTCACTGGAGCCTTTTACCAAACATGCTGGGAAATTATTGAAGAAGATGTTGTCCAAATGGTCAAGGCTTTCTTTTGCGGTCAGCGGCTGCCAAAAAGTGTTACGCACACAAACCTGGTTTTATTACCAAAGAAAAAAGAAGTTATGACCTTTGCAGACATGAGACCAATCAGTCTTAGTAACTTTGTTAACAAGATTTTCTCTAGGGTTATTCATGAGAGGTTGGTTGAATTATTACCAAACATAATATCAGAGGAACATGCAGGTTTTGTGAAAGGCAGGAGCATAGTTGAGAACGTACTGTTAACTCAAGAAATCATTACGAATATCAGGTTGAGAACAAAAGCAGGTCCAAACGTAGTGATTAAGCTTGATATGGAAAAAGCTTACGACAGGCTATCATGGCTATTCCTGACCAAAATACTAAGTAAAATGGGATTTCCTGAAGCTTTTATTGGCTTGATCTTTGATTTGATTGGGAACAATTAGTACTCTATGCTTATAAATGGTCAGCCTAATGGTTTCTTCAAATCATTGAGTGGAGTTAAACAGGGTGACCCTTTGTTACCAACTCTATTTATTCTAGCAGCAGAAGCACTTTCTCGGGGATTGAATTCACTACACACTAACCTGTATTTTTGTGGATTTGGAATGCCAAAATGGACCCCAAAAATAAATCATCTATCATATGCTGATGATACAATCATTTTCTGCTCATCTGATGAAACTTCGTTGAGACTTGTCATGGAGGTTCTGCAAGCTTATGAATCATCATCTGGTCAACTGGTGAACAAAACCAAATCAGCCACATACCTGCATCATTTAATGGATAATGAGGTGATTAACAAGGTGGAAAGGATTACAGGTATACGAAGACAATGTTTCCCTATGACCTATCTTGGCTATCCTATTTTTTATGCAAGAAGAAGGGGAGACTATTACCAGGGATTAATCACCAAGGTTATGGACAAACTTCAGTCATGGAAAGGAAAACTCATGTCTGTGGGAGGCAGAGCTGTTTTAATTGCAAATGTCATGCAGAGTATCCCAATTCATATGTTGTCAGCTGTCAATCCTCCAAATTATGTGATCAACAAATTACATAGCATTTTTGCCAAGTTTTTCTGGTGCAGCAATGTCGGAGGCAGCACTAGACATTGGGCGTCTTGGACTAACCTGTGTATGCCTTTTGACGAGGGAGGCATAGGCTTCAGGTCCCTGCATGACGTATCGAAGGCATTGTTCTGCAAATTGTGGTAGAATTTCAGGACTAAGCCCACTTTGTGGAGTGCATATATTTGTCAAAAGTACTGCAAGAAACTAAATGCAGTAATTGTACCTTGGAAACGTGGATCCCGCGTGTGGAGAAAAATGCTAGAATGTAGGGACTTGATTGAGCATCAAATCTACTGGAAACTGAGAATGGGATCAACTCAATTCTGGTTCGATAATTGAACTGAGATGGGAGCCTTATATTTTCAGGTGCCTGCAGAGTTTGGTATCGATGAGGATATTCATAATGTCAACGATCTGGTTGAAAATGGTCTGTGGAATGTGGATAAAATTTTTGAGAGCCTACCTGAAGATTTGGCAAACCACATTGTGCAGAATATTAGACCACCAACTGAAATTTCACAGTTAGATACTCCTTTCTTGATGCTTGAAACAAGGGGACATTTTACAGTAAAATCTGCATGGGATTACCTGCGAAGAAGAGCCAACCCAAAATTAGCTTACAAGAAGATATGGGTAAAAGATTTACCTTTCAAGATATCTTTCTTCCTGTGGAAGGTGTGGAAAGCAAAACTGCCACTTGATGATTTCTTGCGTAAAATAGGATACTCCATGCCATCTAAATGTTGGTGCTGTGCTGATCCAAAGGAGGAGTCTTTAGTACATTTGTTCTTCACATCAAATGCAGCTAGAAGTGTTTGGAGTTACTTCCTGAGGAGAGCAAGAATTGCATTAGATGGGTTGTCATTACATCAATCAATTACAAAGTGTTGGACAGCAGCAGTAGTACCTAGATTGAAGCCAGTGTTACAAGCTTTACCTGCATGCATTGTATGGGAACTTTGGAAGAGAAGAAACAGTTTGAAATATGGAGAAGCAGTGTCAGTGAGCAGAGTTATTTACCAGGTGTCATCTACTTTGCAATCGCTGGTCCAACTGAAAAGGCCAAGACTACATGTGCCTTACAAGTGGCTGGACTTACTGATAATGATGGAGCAATACACACCTCGACTGAAATATGATAAAGTGTTATGGGAATTTCCTTCAAGAGGATGGATCAAAGTGAATACGGATGAAGCATGTAGAGGGAACCCAGAGAGGAGTTCAATTGGTTTCTGCATAAGGGATGAGGCATGTGATTTGATATATGCAGAAGGAAGGGAGATTTCTGAAGGAAACAACAATGAATCAGAAGCGATAGCTATTGTTGAGGCATTGAAGATGTGCAAAAATCTTAATTATTGCCGGATATGGCTGCAGACAGATTCTATGCTATTAAAGAACATTCTAGAGGAATCATGGAAGCCTCCATGGTATATTACTGAACATGTAGAGGAGATTCTAATATTGAAGGAACAAAGTACCATCAAGGTCACACACATTTTAAGAGAAGGGAATACATTAGCAGACCATCTTGCCAATTATGCCCTCGATGAAGGAAATACTAAATGCCATGGTTTCTGGGATCTGGACTCAAAAGGAAGGAGGATTATTAACGAAGATAAGATGCACTGTCCTTACATAAGAGTGAAAGTTGCAAGGAATTAGGAGGAAAAGAGGATTCATTTTGTTATCACACTCGAATCATTCTGGAGGAGAGTTTGCATAGCAATTTTTCGGCTAACTTTGTTCACTTTTTTGCAGGTATTTCATCGAAGCTAAAGCCTAATATTATAGTAGAATATGAAATAGTGGTATTAATGCATTGCATTCAATCCACTGGGAGGACATTAAAGATGGGCTTTCGCACTTTTACAATATATTATACATGGAAATGACTCACATCAAAGGGAAGTAATGCAATAGCATGGGAAATAAGCTGAGCATGTATTTTTTAAGAAGTTTATGCATATTATCAGAAGCCAAATAGTTTTGAGTGTGCACCAGCATGCAACGGATCTGAGAAAAGGATTGAAAGAAATCAATTAAGCATGCGATTTGGAAAGACAAGATACATATGCTTTCAGACAAGAACTGGAAGCTCACTTTTTCGATAATGCAAATGAACGAGTATTTTTTAATACAACTAACTGTGCATTGTGGCATTTACTAATTCATAAAAATCTTTTCATGTGCACACATGGGTTAATGTGGAAGGCATGGCAGACAACACATGCTGTTGAGCAAAGGAATCACATTAAAAGGTGTAATACACATGGAAAGTTATCTAGGATACATAAAAGCATGCAATACTTTCAGATGATGGTACTATGGGATATAATTCTTTATGCTTCAGCTATATGTGGAGCTCACGTGCTTCTGGATTCTCCTGCACAAAGCTGTCTCTATTGGTCAGCTCAATCGAGGAATATCGACATTGCATGTTTCACGCACGGCAACAGATGTCATGCACGCTTTTTCTGCTGTCAAACGTTATGCGATCAACATGTGGGAGAGACTATTGAGGAATATTGATACACGAACGGATGCTGGCAGCTTTATCAAAATCAGTTGGGGCGTGATTTTTTGGGAATACATTCGAACAGGGATGCTCGGCAGTTTCCAAATGGAATTGCACGCCAAGACTTACTGCTAAAAGTAACTAGAGGAGAGCATGTGTGCTGTAAAAGCCTTTCACATGCACATTTATTACATATGAAAGCCTGGAAGACAACAAATGCTGTCGAACAAAAATGGAATGTTATCTTGGATGCAGACTTGTATTTTACAAAGATTAATAGCATTAATGTGATATCAATGTTGTGTGCAACACTCAATTTTGATAATAGGCTATTTGTTAAATTCAAACTTTATTCCTTTCATTTCGTAGGATATCATGACCTTGTATTTTGTCTTTTATTTTGTTATAAATAAAACTAGCCCTAGGCGTTTGCCTAGCGGATTGACTAAAAAAAAAAGGAGTAAATCTGCACAACTTCAAAACTGAGAGAAAAAGTGCTGACAACGATGAAAGAGTGCGGCCACGGAAGGACAACCGCTGGGGCGGCCACAATTACGCTCTCAGTGTAAGTGAGGTTCAGAGAAGGAGTTTTGAAGGCATCAGAGGTCGCTGACTGCGCTGAAATAGCGCGACAGCAGAATTACTCGATATGGTCACGGTCCAAATAGCGGTGAGGGCGAAATTGAGAATCAGAGGACTGGAAAATTGAGCTCAAGTGAAGAGCGCGGTCCGCGAACATATTTCGCGGACGCGGTTGCAGACAACGCTGAGGCAATTGGTTTTCCGCTCCCAGCGGAATCAAGTCCAGTCCCAATCCCAAAGTGAAGAACCGCGGTCCGCGCTTGCATTTGCGCGGCCGTGGAAGTCCAAGCACTGAGGCGCTCATTAATCCACTATCAGCGAAACCTCTATAGTGGCATTTTAGTCCAGTAATTTCAGCTGTGTATAAATAGATCTTTTTCAGAATTTTAGGGTATCTTTTGTACTGGAGAGCTCGTGAACCGCCATACTTAGCTATAACAAAACTCACAAATTACAACAACACATTCGAATATGAGTCCAACCATACTAATTTCGCTCAAATTCGGCTCCGAATCGATGTGCAAACTCACTAATTCAGTTTAGAAAAGTTTAGACAAAAATCCCCAATTTCTCTTTTAGAATCATCAATCAAATACCAAAATCAAAGATGGAATCTATAATAAAAATCGAGTCAAAAATACTTATCCCAATCCATGTGGTGAAAATCCTCTCTAAAATCGCCTAAATCCGATCTCTCCAACTCAAAATATGATAAAATAAACTCATGGTCCGAAATAGAGTACTTATAATACTGCTTTAGGGATACCCTTTCCGAATGCGGAAGAAGCTTCACATTCGCGATGAACAAAATACACTGCCACAACATAACACTACGCATTCGCGGCACATCCCTCGTGAACGCGATGAACGCCGCTACTAGACCTTAGTGAATGTGTCGCCTCCTGCGAGAACGCGATGAACAAAGCCTCCAGCTCCCTCGCCAATACGTGAACATGACACAACACTGCGAATGCAATGCCCCAGGTCTCACAAAGCTATGCGATCGTGACCCTCAAGTCGTGAACGCGTAGAAGAGAAATACTCAGTTCCCATAATACACTACGAGTTCACAATCGCGGTCACTCCCTCGTGATCGCGAAGGATATCAGTAACAATAGAAAACCAGCAACACAACGTGAAGGAAAATGGTCAAAGATCGATCCGAAATACATTCGATCCCCTCGGGACCCCATCCGAACATGCCAAAGTTCCAAAACATAACACAGACCTACTCGAGGCCTCAAATCACACATAACAATATCAAAACCATGAATCATATCTCATATCAAACTTAATGAACTTTTGAACTTCAACTTCCAAAACTCGTATCGAACTACATCAAATCAACTCAGAATGACCTCAAAAATTTTGCACACAAGTTTTAATAACATAACAAACCTATTCCAACTCCCCGAATAATAATTTGAACCCGATATCATCAAAGTTAACTCCCGATCAAACTTATGAACCTTCCAAACCTTCAAATTGCCAAATTTCGCCAATTATGACCAAAACCTTCTAAAGCCTCCAAATGCAAATTTGGGAACACACCCAAATCCAAATCACCATCCGGACCTAATGGATTCATCAAAACTCTGATCCGAGGTCAAATACACAAAAGTCAAACTTGATCAACTCTGTCAACTTAATGCTTCCAAAATGAGAGTCATTCTTCTAAATCAATCTTGAACCGCTCAAAAACCAAAATCGACGATACACGCAAGTTATAATATACCATATGAAGCTAGTCATGACCTCAAACCACCGAACCGAATGCAAATGCTCAATCCTATCGATCTATTTTTTTATTGAGTTTCTTTTCATATCTATAATTTGAAACTCACTGTTTGTTTTGTTTATTAGACTATTCAAAGGGAAAGTACAAATATCCAAATTCTGCAGAGGCAGAAAATTTTCATAAATCCCTAGCCAAGTAAAAAGGAATCCTTAATATTTTCTTTGGAAAAATGCCCAAACACACCACATTGTTTTAACAATTGGTCACCAATTAGGCAATTATCAAGTGGGCCAGGTGGTGTGAGGG